ACTCCTATGCCTGGGGCTGTACTCTGTGCCTCAGGGTGGGTGGGCCGGGTGCCCCAGGGGGTGGCCGTCAGAGGGAACTCAAGGCCCATGTTCCCTTGGGAGGCTAACATCACTGCCCCACGGTACACAGGTGCCAGGCAGCCTGCCAAGGACCTAAGAGAGAAGTGGCTGTGGGGCATACCCCCCCGCTCTGGGAGCTGGGGGGGGGGTGTCCATGCCCTTGGGTGAGGGAGCTCACAGTAAATGCTCCCACCTGGCTGTTCCCCCCTGCCAGAGCCCCCTCCCACATTGCCCCCAACAGGAGGGCTGTGTCCCTGGGGTTTTGGGGCGGGGGGAGTGCACCTGGATTTGGGGGCTCCCCACACCCCCCTGGCACCCTAATAGCCTGTGGGGTCAGCAGGGAATGATAAGGGCCACAGCAGCCACGCCCCCACCTCTACCCACCAGTCTAAATTCTGAGTGCCTTGCCAAGGTGCTGGTGTGTTCTAGACAAATCCCAAATTTGCATTTTTCTCACCCTTTAATTAGACCCAGTTGGCGGGAGGCTGGGAGGGAGGCCCATTCTGGGAACAGGAAAGGGGGCTCCCTTCAGGCTAGGGAGCCATTATTTACCCTGCTTGGGGGTCCAGGTCCCCTCAAGTCTTCTGAGATGAAGTAAGGGTTCAGGTGCCAGAAAGGGACAGTTTAGGCCCTGGACAGGTGGTCCTTTGCCTGTTTCGGCCCCACCTTCCCCCTTCTCACCTTCCTCTTGGCTCTGGGGCAGGTGGCGAGGGAGGTGAGGCTGCTCGGTTCACACCCCTGTTCAAGGGTGCCAGTGAAGGCGGGGTGTCCTCCCCAGCCTCCTCTCAGCCTGGCAGATGGCTGTACCATTGGTTCCTGGGAGACCCAGAAGCACCCTGACAGCAGGAGCTTGGGGAAGAGGGAGGCGGTGTGGTCCCAGCTGCCAGGGCCTGAGGCTACCAGGCCCCCAACCCCCACCCCAGCAGATGGGAACCGTGGGGTTGGGCCACTCCCTGCCACTAGTCCTGAGCTGGGAAGGCCTGCCAGGGGACCATTACCAGCAAACAGTCAATGAGCACCCGCTGTGTACCAGGCCGAATTCCGGGTTCTGTGGTTACTGCACTGGGTCCTGTCCTCAGGGAGCTGTTGTCCCAGCAGGAAGAGAGGCTTCTAAATTGGAGCAAGCGTTTAGCTCTCATCCTGGGCCAGATACAGTTCTCAGTGCTTTGTACGTAGTAGCTCATAAAGCCATTGAAGCAGCCATGTGATGGGCACCCTGGTTATCTCCCTTTGTGGATGGGGAAACTGAGGCACAGAATGTTAGTAATGGGCCTGGGGTTACACCACGATAACTTCACAGAAGTGGGTGGCTCTGGGCAAAAGGAGCATCACATGTAGAGCTGTGAGGAGCTGATGCCTGTCAGAGGGGCTGGGGCAGGGCCTCCGCAGTCTGCGAGGGTACAGGGAGAGATGTGCGTGGTGAACCTGAGCTGGCAAGGAGGTGCAGGGAAGCTGACTAGGGCTAGGCGCCGGGCGGAGGCAGGGCAGGGAGGAGGGGGGAGGGCCGGAGCAATAGGACTCGGTGACTGACTGGGCTGGGTGGTGGCAGAGGGCCTTTGAGGGCAGTAGGGCCGTGTGCCAGGCCTCCGAGGTGGGCAGAGAAAGAGCACACATGGCCCACAACTGGACACGGCTGCCCTTGGAGGGCAGCAGCCTGCAAATCCATGAGGATGGCCATCTGAGTGGGAGAGGGGCTTGGGCATCATCACTAGGTGGGGCTCAGCAGGGGGAGGTGTAGGAGGCATGGGGGTGGGGAGAGCTGGGCGGATCCCAGGACTTGGGTTTGAGGTGAAAGGTTACCTGCAGGTACAGGGAGGTGAAGTGGTCAGACGAGAACCAGGAGGTGGGCATCGGGGACAGAACCCAGCCAGCTGAGGGGCAGACAGGGTAAGAGTGAATTTGGGGGCGTGCCAGGGGCAGCACAAGCTCAGGCTTGGTCCTGGCCTGCACTGCGGGAGCCCCCCATCAGGGGGCAGCACTGTCCTAGCTGCTGGGCTCAGCAGAGCTGGCTGGTTGTCTTTCAGAACAAAGTTCTGGATGTGGATGGCATGAAGGTGAAGCTGCAGGTGAGAGGTGGGGGGCGCGGGCGGGGGAGGTGAGGGGAAGGGACCAGCAGCCCTGACTTCGGGCTGTGCCTGTCGCTGCAGATCTGGGACACGGCTGGCCAGGAGCGGTTCCGCAGCGTCACCCACGCTTACTACCGCGACGCCCACGGTGAGCTTGTGGGCGCGGGACGCCAGCCCCAGGAAGCGGAGGCTGCGCTCCGTGGGTGCCCTGGGAGTGAGCATGGCAGGCCGGCTGGAGGCTGTGGGCGCCAGGAAGCTGTCCTCACTGGCCCTCTGCCCCCAGCGCTGCTACTGCTCTATGATGTCACCAACAAGGCCTCCTTTGACAATATCCAGGTCAGTGGTTCCCTCCTGGTGGTGGGGCAGGCAGGGGGGCGTTAGGGTCCCAGAGGCCGGAGGACCCCACTGACAGCAGGGAACGGTGGCCCCTCTGGCGGCTCAGGTTGCCTGTGAGCTGGATGGGGTCTGGGGACCTTCCAGCTCCATCCAACACCTTGGATAAGGTACTCCGCCTCGCACGGGGACCACTACTTCTGGGCCCCTCCCGTTAGCCAGAGCCACACAGGCCCTCTGTGCGGTGTGGCCTGGAGGGACAAGGGGTACGCAGGAGTGCCAGCCTCTAGGCTGGTCTCAGCTTCTCCCCCACAGGCCTGGCTGACCGAGATCCAGGAGTATGCCCAGCACGACGTGGTGCTTATGCTGCTGGGGAACAAGGTGAGAGCCCCAGCCCCCCTTCTCCTCCCTAGCTCTACAGGGCGGGTGAGGGAGCGGGCAAGCCCTGGGCCAGCTCTCATCAAGACCCCTGTGCCAGGTGGACTCTGCCCAGGAGCGTGCGGTCAAGAGAGAGGATGGGGAGAAGCTGGCCAAGGTGAGCCAGGGTAGGGTGGGTGGCCAGGGGTGTCCCTGGGGTTGCAGGACTTAGGCTATCCCCACCAGGCTGCCACCTGGCTGCCACCAGCTGTTTGCAGGAGTACGGGCTGCCCTTCATGGAGACCAGCGCCAAGACAGGCCTCAACGTAGACTTGGCCTTCACAGCCATTGCAAAGTAAGTCCTGGCAGTCACCAGAAGACCCCCACCCCTAGACCTGGAGTCTGAATCTCCTTGCTGGGGTAGAAGCCACTCTGTTCCATGGTCACCCCTGCACCACAGGGAGTTGAAGCAGCGCTCCACGAGGGCCCCCAGTGAACCCCACTTCAGGCTGCACGACTATGTCAAGAGGGAAGGCCGAGGAGCCTCCTGCTGCACACCCTGAACCTGGGAGGGCCCTGCAAGGCTGGATGGAGGCTTTACAGGGACTCCTGGATTTAGTCATCCCGCAGTCAATCCCAGGGTGTCCGATCCTGGAACTCCCAGATGGAGCCTTGCCTTTCCCAGAGCCTCAGGCCCAACAGGCCTCAAGGAGCCAGTGGGTCTGCACCCCTCTTCACCTGCTGCTGCCTGAGGGCCTTGAAGGAAAAGCAAGGGTCTCCAGTACAGGAGGGGGCACCTCACAATGTACAGCCCACGTGGGGCGCTCTGCTGCCCCCTCCTGGACACGCCCAGCTTGCAGGCTGGGCCACCGTTCCAGCACATGTACAGTGCCTAACCCCTTAGAGAAAGCCATGTCTTCAGCTCTACACGCTGCCCAGGCAGGGAAAGGCAGGACTCCTGCCCGTGCCTGGGACCGAGGGCTTCACCGCAAACCATACCATGCATTTGTGCCCCAAGGATCAGAGCCACCTGCTCCGCGCTCACACGCTAGGAGACTCTGGTTCCAGCATCAACAGGGTCTTCCTTTCATGCCCCCTTGGAGGATGCCAAGATTGTGGCTTTGTAAGAGACGAACAGCATGTGGGAAATCAGAGAAATGTCAGGGAAACTAGAACTGCCAGCCTCACCGAGGCCTGTACTTAGTGAGGTCAAGCCAGGGGGCTGGTAGTACACTTCATGTTGTTGTACTCAAATCCTGAAGTCCGTCTTTAGATTAAGAGCCTTTGTTTTCAGTCCTAGTGAATAAAGTTGTGTTTTCTGTACTGCCTCTCTTCTGTTCAAAGAAATCCCCCTTTGGGCCCCTCGGGAAAGTACGGGTCATCTTTAACACTCAGAGGGTGGCACCCCTCCCCTGCTGTAACTAGGTTGCTTGGAACCCCAATGGTGTCTAGGGAGCATGGGGGAGCCTAGGTGATTCATATCCACTCCCCCTAAGACACAATGGAATAAAAAACAGTGCTCCATGGCCCGCTAGTGAAGAATTAAGAGTTCCTGGGACACCTGGGTGGCTCAGTCGGTTAAGCAACTCAGGTCAGGATCCCAGGGTCCTAGGATCGAGTCCCACATCAGGCTCCCTGCTCTGCGGGGAGCCTGCTTCTCCCTCTGCGTCTCTCTCTCATGAATAAATAAATCTTAAAAAAAAAAAAAATTCTCTATCTCCCTCTGCCCCTCCTCCTCCTCTCTAATAAATAAATAAACCTTAAAAAAAAATTATTAAGAGTTCCTGGGCACCTGGGTGGCTCAGTCGGTTAAGCAACTCAGGTCAGGATCCCAGGGTCCTGGGATCGAGTCCCACATCAGGCTCCCTGCTCAGCAAGAAGCCTGCTTCTCCCTCTCCCACTCCCCCTGCTTGTGTTCCTGCTCTCGCTGTCTGTCAAATAAATAAATAAAATCTTAAAAAAAAAAAAAAATTAAGAGTTCCTGACCTACCCAAGGCACAAGCCAAAAAACCCCAGTATTTTTGGCCTTATATGGAAATATGGAGAAGGCAGTTCCAACAGTGGGGAAGTCACCGGACGAACATCCACCTTCCTCTGCCCTGTCCCAAGACTACCTGGGGTTGAGCCAGTGCTCCCATGGGGTCCTATGGGATGCAAACGTGTGTGAAAAGAAAGACACCTGCGTTCCAATCAACTCACCACTTTTGCTTTATTGCTCAGCGCTTCCCAGACCGACACGGGCTCCCGCCTTACCACCAGGCCTCTGGGCTGACGTCGACTCACGTTCACGGCCTCTGGCCGGGTCACCCACCGCCCTAGAAGGCAGACAGCGCCACAATGTAGACAAAAGCCCACTCCCATTTCGGACAAGATAGTTTCGCACCCAGCCGCCCCCGCCCCCGTCATGGGGGTGCACCCTGAAGCCTCAGTCTTGCAAAATAATCAGACTGCGTGTGCAGTTTTCATACGAGGTGTCAGAAATAAAAGCAACTCATCACAGGCTCGAAGCTGCCTAGGGGAGAGCAGGCCCGGCCCAGCCTTACCTGCCGGGAGATGGAGGTCTGGAGGTTCGGACTTCTCCGACCCAACGAGGGGGTGGGGTTGGGGAAGGCGGAGCAAAAAACATGAACAACACCGAGGCGGAAGAGGGCCAGGCGGGCCTGCAGACTTGGGGGACCCCCTCAAACCCACTCGGGGCCCAGTGCGCCCATGACCTTAGCGGACGGCGCCAGCAAGAGCAAACACGCCAGACCCGCACTCGATCCCAAAAGAACGGGGAGCCCAAGGCTCAAGCTTTTATAGAAACTGCCCTACCACTGCGATTGGGCCATCCTGGCGGAAGTACCCTCTCCCCTTGCAGCTGATACGCTGCGTCTCCCGGACCCGACCCGCGAAGCTTCTCCTTTTCGCAACGGGCCATCGAACGTCACCCTGAGCGACAGCGGCACATAACCAATCAGACTCCGACCTGCTACATAGAGTGATTCTAAAGCTGCCAATCCCGCCCCGCGACGTCGAAGCCGCCGGAAGTCGTAGTTTCTGAGGAGCCGCGCGTGAGGCAGCCGGCTGGGCATTGAGAGTCTGAGAACTACAAGTCCCGGCGGGCATAGCGCACCAGCGCTTCCGGCTCGCGCGTCCTGTCCCTTTCCCGGCCGGCGGCCGCGGGGGCACGATGAAGCGGGAGGGTGGCGCTGCCGCTCCCGGGCGGCCGCGGGCCGGTGAGTGTCCGCGCGGCGCGCCCGGCTCGGGCTCGCCCCTCGGGGCCGCGCGGTGGGCGCGTCGGGGTCCGCGGAGGGATCGGGCCTGGGGGGCGGGGCTGACGCGGGCCGGGGTCTCCGCGTCTGTCCATCACTCGCTCGGTCGCTCCATTCTCCCTTTCCTTCCTTATTCATTCCTCCTTCCTGCGTGCATGGAGCGCCGCCGGGGACCCAGTTCTCGTGGGCTTTTCCTCTCCTGCAGCTTTTCTCAACCCCGCCGCTGTTGACACTTCTCGCCGAGCATTCTTTGCTGTGCTTTGGTGGATGTTGAGCTGCATCCCTGGTCTCCACCCACTGGATACCAGTAACCTCCCCCACCCCCTTCGTGACAACCCAGAATGCCTCCAGACATTCCCAAACGTCTCCTGGGGGACAAAATCCTGCCCTCCCCCCGCTCTCCCCCCCCCCCCCCCCCCGCTTGAGAGCTGGTGATCCAGAGCAGAGAGCGATTGACAGTACGCTCAAAATCCTGAGGAGTTGTGATGGGTGCTACGAAACAGGTCGCTGAGAAGGAGTGCTGGGCGCTCCTGAGCGGCTTGGTGAGGGTGGAGGTGCCTCCAGCAAGCAGCCTGTTTTGGGAAGTTGCTGGAAGAGCATGCCTGGCAGAGGGAGCAAGATGTGCAAAGGCCCCACGGGAGAAACGGCTTGGGGCGCCAGTGAGTGCTGGCAGAGGGGTGAGAGGCGAGTCCGGGAGGCCAGACCAGGGTGCAGGGTGGCAGGGATTGTACACAGGAGAGCCAGCATCAGATTGAAGCCTAGTGAAGAGCCCCTGGTTATGTGTGGAGGAAGGACTGAGATTCAGTGAGGAAGCAGGAGAGAGTAAGGAGGCTGTCCTGTGTGTAGAGGAGAGTGGGGTGGGAGATGAGGCTCTGGTTGTCTTGAACCAGGCCAGGGCATTCAGCTGGGGCTGAGTCTGCACTTGTGCTGGATCTCACCCTGCTTTGGCAGGACAGGGGTAGAGAGGACGGCCAGAGATTCCACCCCACTTTACTGCCTCCCTTTCTTAGAGCTCCGGGCTGCCGAGACCGTGTCCACCCTTCTCCCCATCCCACAGACCCCTCCGCATGCACACACAGTGCTCCTCTCCTGGGGGCTGCCCACCCCCTGGCCTTTGCCAAGCATGGGGCCTCTCTCTTCCTCATTCCTTCTCTTTGGGCCTCTCCCTTCCCACACCCCTTCCGTGGAGGCCTGTGTAGCAGAAACTACCTCTCTGTCGTAAATCCCTACTTGAGCTGCTCTGGGCATTCCCGTTTCTCCATGGAATCCCCAGTCCCTGTGGCTCATGGTTCCCACAGGGTATCGCTGCACTATTCCCCGGAAGCCAGAACCTCCGTCTCAGGGGAAGCAGGGGTACGGGCAGCCTGGATGAGGGAGGTAACCGGCTGAGAAGGAGGGGTCCCTGTGGAGTAACCCCTGCTGTGGCTGTGTATCACAGTATTTCTGGAAATGAATGGAACAGATCAGGGTCTGAAGTGTTGACTTAGCTGGGACAAGAACCCACAGAAAAGTGCCTTTGGCAGGTTGCATGGGGCTTACTAGTACTCCCGAGCCTCTGTCTGCCTCTCCTCCCAGGCCCTGCAGCTTCTCCGGGTCAGACTCACGTTTGGCCGTCAGCACGGGCCCTCTCTCCAGCATGGGGACTAGCCTGCATTGGGTGTGAGCCTGGCCGCAGGATCAGGAACGCACAATTTGGGAAATGGGAGAGGTGTGGCTGAAGGGCCTGCACTGGCTGGGTGGCCTCAGGCAGCCTGGGCGCTGTGGTTTGGCTGCACCCCGCCCCCCAGCTCGGCTTGGCCTGGGGCTGGCTTCAGTGCATGGTGGGCTCCTTGATTTGCCGGCAGAACAGAGGAAGTGAGAGGAACGGGCCTTCGGTTGACTCCAGCGTGGCCTCTTGCAGGCTGTAAGTGCTGGGATAGCTTCTCAGCTCCATTTTCCGATCTCAGAGAGGGGCCGCTGTCGGCAGAGCCTTGACTCATGCCTCGAGAGCCATCTCTCACAGTTCCTGTCAGATGCGGGCATGTCCACTCCGTTTCACGGGTGAGAAATCGAAGGCCCAGGGGGTTGAGAAGCTTGTCCAAAGTCGCGCAGCTTTGTGCAGCAGAGGCGGGATTTGCACCCAGGTCCGAGTCCAGCACTCATGGTCTTGACCGTTATGCTGTTCCATCTCCATAAAGGACATTTGGAGGGGTCAGCGTAAGCATATATATGAAGGGCCAGCATGTGTCTAGCCTTGGGAGGTGTCAGCAGGACATAACTTGCTCTGAACCTGAGTCACCACTGGCCTGACCTTGCTGTTGGGTGGGCACCTAGGACTTCACCAGGCCCTCTGGCTGGCTTACGCAGGAGGAACCCTGGTAGAGGGGCCTGCCAACCCCTCCACTTCCAACAGATGCCCTCCACCGTCCTCTGTGCTCTGCTCTGGCCCTTCAGCAGAAGGCATTTGGTTGCTCCCTGGAGGAGCATGGAGTCAGGTGGGGCAGATGAAGGGGGAAATGGGCCCTGGGGGCTGGTGCTAATGTCACTGGCAGACCTGGTACTTGACTGGAAGTCCAGTTGGGGGGGTGGACTAACCGCAAGAGGACCCAGGCAGAAGGAGTGGGGTCCTGCAGCACTGGCTGGCAGGGCATGGGGTGGACAGTGGTGTGGGCTGGTGCATGTCCAGGCCAGGCTCTGGCCTGTGACTTTGTATACACTCCCCAGCTTCTGTAGGGAAGCCAGAAAGAGGAAGGCAGGGAGACAGAAACCACACAGGGCATGATGAGCAACAGCCAGGGCGGCCTGGAGCTGTAGTCTGGGCCTGAGGTACTGCCACCTGGTTCTCGGGCAGAGGCCCAGGACCTGTCCCCACAAGCTTAGATTCATGGGTGGGGGGCAGCCTGGGGCAGGGCCAGGGGAATGCAGCTGGTTATAGGGGCCACTTTTATCTGCCCGCACCCTCCCTCCAACTCAGGGTCTGGCCCAACTCTGGCAGCAGCCGCACAGATGGGAAGCTTGTCCCAGGCTGTCTGGTGAAAGGTAACAGTGGCCCCTGCAGCCAGGTGCTGAGATAGGAGGACAAATACCTTTCCCCAGAATGCTCTCTCCCTGCTCTGGATCCGCCCAGCCCCTTCCTCCGGGAAGCTCTCCAGGCATCATAGAGAGGAGAGTCCCCCAGGCTGAGTCTGCAGCTCGTATGTGGCCATCCACTGTATGGGAGAGAAAGCATAGGAGATGAGTCTGGCCCCAAGGGGTAGGTGGGGAGGCGAAGGCATTCCCCTTGCTGAATGGGGGTTAAAGCCAGGCTGGTGGAGCAGGAGGGATGCTCTCCCTCCAGCAGAGGGGCCTGTGGGTGCTGGACCTGGATAGGCAAGGTGAGAGGCTAGGTGGGAGGTGTGAGGACACAGAGCCCTGGGAGAAGAGGCCACAGCAGGTGTCCAGTCCAGCAACCTTGAGGCCACTGTGGATTAGGACTGTGGGTACAGAGACAAGGATGGCGGGTGAGGGCAGAGGCCCAGGCTGCATGCTGGGAGGGAAGGGAGGCCGGGGAGGCCTCAAACCAGGGCCTACTGAGGTGCTGAGGGGATCCCTGACATCACACCCTGCCTGTTTGGGATGGAAAAGACATACTAAGGGAACATCAGGGAGCAGCTGGAGGAAGTATATGGGGCTTTGATATGGCAACCAGCCTGTTTCTATAGGATTTGGCAGCCCAGCTTGGGCTTGGCCAGGGGGCCTTGGGCAGGGGCTCACCCAGGGGCTGGGTGGTCCGTGGGTGATACGAGGGGCTGGGCCTGGAGCTCTGGCTATAGCCCAGCCGGCCACCCACGGCTCTGTCCCAGGCAGGGCTGAGGTGTCCTGAGCCACCAGTGCTCCCCCCTGGAGCAGTCACCACCAGATGTGTGGCCTGATGGAGTTTTCAGGGCATGCCTACCCCCTCGCTGACTCCGCACACGCTTTTCAGGAGACCCCACCACGCCCACTCCCTTCGGCGGCTGGAGGAGCTGCTTCAAGGCAGGGCTTGGCCCTAGTGGGACCTGCTTCCGGCCCCCCCACTGCCCCGATACCGGCATTTACAGCGGGCACTGCCCACTCCACTGTCAGCCAGCCGCACGGACCAAACCGGGGGGCCTAGGTCCCACATTCCCAAGGCTGAGGGCTTAGCAGATGCTATTGGCCTCCGTCCAGGGGATGGGCTGGGGAGGGGCTCCCCAGGGAGCTGGCCTGCCCTCTGGTGCAAGCTGCCCAGAGAAGGGGGCTGGTGGGGGGCTTTCCCAAAGAGGAGCTGGGGGTGGAAAAGTCCAGGGGCTGGGGCATGATAGGTGGATCTCTAGTTCCTCCCTGGGCAATGAGTGTACCCCAGGGCCCCAGAAGCCCTTTGGACATGGATGTGGGTGGACAGAGATCCCTGGGCCTTGACCCTAGGCCCAAGCAAGGGGTTGCAGGGGGGCTGCTTCTGCAATGACCCTGAGCGCCCTTGGGCACCACTCCCCCACCAGCCTTACCTGAGGCAGGCAGACCCATCTCCACCAGGACCTGCGGTTTTCAGTCTTTAAGAGATAGAATCCTCACGTCCCTCCCATGGGCTCTGCTGAGCCACCTGGAACAGGCAGGGTGGGGACTTGGCTGGGGAGGGGAGGGGAGCTGTGGGGATGTCCTGTCTCACCCTCCTCCCACCCCAGCTGTGCCTGGCAGGCTG